AAGACAATAATAGAATTGTACTTAAAAATAAAATTCTATTACTTTGGAAAAGAATTTACCCGAAAATCGCATTTAACTTATGTTAGAAAAGATTTGAACAAAATAATATTGTTTAAAGGACAGTAATTATAAATTATAATAAAAAATAATTTATATTCTTTTATCTAAGATTGTTTTTTATTTTCTTAATTTTTTTATTTTCAAGTAAATCTTATTGCATTACATTTTAGTTTCCTTTCTTTTTAAATAGAAAACTTGTTGCTCTCTTTCATATTAAATTTTTCAATCAATTTAAATTTTAATAATGAACAATAACGAACCATTCTTTATTTCATTTATAGCACTTTTTCTCACTTCAAATTCTTCTCTTGCAAATAATTCACAGTCAGAATATATGATTATTAGTTCTTGGCTTGGCCATTTGGGTTCTGGGGGCGCTGAGATCTTGGATCGCGGCCTTTTACATTGCTTAAATGGGAAAAGTGGGGGTCGTTAGCAGTCCATGGGTATATAGTTAAAGGCGTTCACGAAGTATTTCCATAGTTGGATCCATCTTCATAAATTTGCATACAAATTTTAATGCGTGATTATTCGATGACTGTATAGAAAAATGATATAGAGAATCATAAAGTGCACCAAATTGCAATATATGGATGATGGCATCAAACCCACAAGTTTTTTGTCGTAACCGTAAAGGTATATCCAGACAAATTTACATAGCGCAAAAACATATGCATTATGCCCGGTCTACAATGAATCGTTAGTCGTTAGTCGCAAGCAACTTGACCAACCACGGTCGATTATTCTTAGAATATTCTTGGAATAATAGACTGTGGTTGGTCAATTTGCTTACGACTAACGACTAACGACTCATTGTAGATCGGGTTTAAGAAAATTAATTGGTCCATATATGTATGCATAAGGAAATGGACCAATCTAGTACGATTGACCAATCAGAGAGTCCTAGTGTGCAACTGATCAATTAGCAATGTGGGCTATATCGGATCCCGTCCATCTAGCATTGCATATCTGACCTTATGTATCCGGTTCCGGATTATTATCTGATAGGGAATTAATTATTATAAAATAAACTATTATTTCCCAAACGTTGAAAACATTACAGATGTGTTTCCCAAATGATTTCATGTTGATTAAAATAAAAAAAGAATTTTTTAAAAATTACCCAGATAGCCAAGTCTGTTCGAACAGATTTTGCCAAACGTCTGCTACAAATTTTTGTCAGCAGAAACATTGCAGATTGTATACAAAGTCTGTTATATCAAATAATAATAGCAGAATGTCAGCAGAAATGTTACAAAACGTGCTGACATAATTTGACAGCAGATCAGTAGCAGAAACCGAGCAGGATTTGCATAGAATTATTATAGCAGATAGCCAGCAAAAACAGAGCAGAATCTGCACAACGCAATTTGATGTCAAATTGATAGCAGAAATCAAGCAGAATCTGCGCGCCCGCAATCTGACGGCAGATTGGTAGCAGAAATCGAGCAGGATCTGCTAACATGACTTGACATCAGATTGTCGGCAAAAATCGAGCAAGATCTGCGTGCGCGCAATCTGATGGTAAATTGGCAGTAGAAATCAAACAGAATCTGCAGCTTTTAGCATTCATATAATTTATTGAAATAGTATAGTTTATTCGCTTACAGCTATGCGGCGCACTATTCACTTTCTATACCCGTATTCAAGTTCTTGTCACGAGCGTATATAATGCCTGCAAAATGCGGCTAATAACATCGTAATTATTTCTATCAGTTTAATTTCTGATACGACTCCCATACCGGGAATTCAGATATTGAACTGATTTTTAGAAAATCAGACAGATAAATGTCCGATTTTCACTTATTCGGAAAGAAATTATCCAAATAAGTGAAAATCGTTTGTTATTATATCTATTTAAGATATAAAATAGAAATTAACTTCCATATAAATAAAATATTTTAATTTTGATTTAATTTCATAAATTAAATTATTCAAATTTTCCTATATATATTACATTAATATATATTATTAATATTATAAATTTATGTTATTAATACAAACGTCAGAAAATGACATCTCGTGAAGGTGACATATCAACTATTGACGTCATTTTTGAATCTTATGAGACCTAACTTTAGGACGTCTAATTGATTATTTTGTGACCAAAATTTACTGTCATCTTGCTACTTGGAATCGAGACCTTTTAAATGTTTAAATCCATTTAAATGTACCATTTTATATAAATGTCTAGAAACTGCTCGATTTCTGCTGTCAATCTGCCGTCAGACAGATCAATCTGCTCACATTGCCTGTCAGCAGGCTCTGTCGACAAAACCTGAGCTTAATGTGGTCACAGATGGCTATGGTTTTGGCATGGAATTCTGATTAAATTTGCTGCCAATCTGCGCGCATGCTGCTAGCATTTTGCTATCTGGGTATGTCTGCTAACTATACGCTCAATTAATTTTCATTTATTATAAATAAATTATTATTTCCTAAACTATGAGAAAATATTCCTAAATTTGCCCAAACGATTCCCAAACGATTGCAATAATAAAAAATAAGAAATACTAAATTTGTCTGCTAAGTATACAGAGGTGAACCGACGGTTAAAATTAGCAGGGTGGCCAACAGAAAATAGAGGTGAAGAAAAACCAAGCATTCATGTCATTTCAGTTAATCACCCTGCTAATTTTAATTGTTGGTTCATCTAACCCACTGATCTATATATCTGAATTGCTGATAGGCCTCCTGGTGATGTACCCAATTGAAGGTCCGCCATTTTACACGCCCGAGGTGCGCGCATGCGTGGTGGTGCTCTAAGTGATACCAATAAGTGCAGATCATGGATACCGCTTAATAAACTTTGTAACAGTTTTTTAACTTTTAACTTTCTTTTTAACTTTGTGACAGCTGCACACGAAAAAGAAGGTCCAACTATGGTAACATTCTTTATATTTGCAAATATTTTATTTATAAAACCCACAAAAAATGATTAAGAAATTGTAAATATTAAAAAATAATCCAAAATTCCTCGAAACATGACAAGTTGATTGTATTATCGCAATTAAAACGTATGGTAGGAACCTTTATCGAATGAATAAAGAATTATTGTCTTATTAAACATAAAATCTTGTAATGTTTTGGTCTATTTTATGATCTGTTTTATCGTTTAATCCTGATTTTTTAAATTAATAACAGCAAAAATGTTACGTAAACGTAAGTTTCAGTTACAGTCTTACATAGACCGTGGTTTTAGTCAAACTCATTTGAATTTCCCACGCTCGGAGGCAAATTGCCAGGTAAGATGGCGGCATCCATTTGGGGACGCTTTTGAGTCCTAAGAACAAAGGTGATCGGCAATCCAGATATATAGATCAGTACTATGGATTCTGGCATCTCTTTTTAGTATTACCTGATTGGTCCATGGCATGCACGTCACATCATTCTGACGTGACATACCATGGACCAATCAGGTAATATTAGAAAGAGATGCCAGACATCCGTAGGCACCTCTCTCTCGGCGAAATAGTGGCGACAGCTAAACAAAGGGATCGCTCATTCCAGTATATATAGAGTTCACTGGGTTATATAAAGGAAAGACAGACTTTTGCACATAGACATAGTATATCTAGACCGAGCGTTTGCCTTTATTTAAGGAGTGGGGGTAAAGATACACCTAGAATTCTGCGCAGACGCTTGACGCTTAACGCTACCATGTAAAGGCACCTTAAGTGATACCAATAAGTGCAGGTCATGGATACCGCTTAATAAACTTTTTAACAGTTTTTTAACTTTTAACTTTCTTTTTAACTTTGTGACAGCTGCACACGAAAAAGAAGGTCCAACTATGGTAACATTCTTTATATTTGCAAATATTTTATTTATAAGACCCACAAAAAATGATTAAGAAATTGTAAATATTAAAAAATAATCAAAAATTCCTCGAATCATGACAAGTTGATTGTATTATCGCAATTAAAACGTATGATAGGAACCTTTATTGAATGAATAAAGAATTATTGTCTTATTAAACATAAAATCTTGTAATATTTTGGTCTATTTTATGATCTGTTTCATCATTTAATCCTGATTTTTTAAATTAATAACAGCAAAAATGTTACGTAAACGTAAGTTTCAGTTACAGTCTTACATAGACCGTCGTTTTAGTCAAACTCATTTGAATTTCCCACGCTCGGAGGCAAATTGCTGGATAAGATGGCGGCGTCCATTTGGGGACGCTTTTGAGTCCTAAAGCGGGGAGCACACACTTTTGCATAAACGCATAATCATAAGCATAAGGAATTTGATTGGTCAATTTCCTTATGCATAAGGAAATGGACCAATCAAATTCCTTATGCTTATGATTATGCGCTTATGCAAAAGTGTGTGCTCCCCGCTTAAGAATAAAGGCGATCGGCATAGACATAGTATATCTAGACCGAGTGTTGAGGAGTGAGGGCCAAGGTGCACGTAGAAAAGGACATACTCTGTTCCGTGCCCTATGCATTCTCTCTCACTCGCATATAGCGTAGCAAAAGAGTACGTTATGCTACATGCGAGCGAGAGAGAACGCAAGGGGCACGAAACAGAGGATATCCTTTTCTACGTGCATCTTTACTCCCACTCCTTAAATAAAGGCAAACGCTCGGTCTAGATATATTATGTCTATGGATGCTGCCATGTAATGGCACCTTAAGGGTGCGGGTGCCATTACATGAAGCGCGGAAACGCGTAACAAAAACTGCAGAATGCTCGCGATTGGTTTCATTCTCGTTCCGCGTTACGCTAATCCGCGTTTCCGCGCTCCATGTAATGGCACCCTGACGTGTAGGGCGTTTTCCAGCAAGATACATAGATGACACAGTGTACTACACATTATCACACGATTGGCTGTCAAATGAAGGAATTTAAAATTCTGTATTTGATAGCCAATCGTGTGATAATGTGTAGTACACTGTGTCATCTATGTACCTTGCTGGAAAACGTCCGTAGTCAGTGATCTTGTTTCGCACTGAAAGCATTGGGCGCATTCAGTAGAGAAAACCGCTCAGTAGCAATCGAACGTGATTGGCTCTCACTTTTAGAACCAACAAATCAACGTCGAGTGTTGACAAGACAATAACTGAGCGCTTTCTCTGCCGAACGCGCCCAATGGCTCTTCACTCAAGCATTAAATCCCTCTCTAAAAAAGACATGTTATTGACATTGTTGTCTCGCGATGTTGATTGGTTGTCTCATTCGTGCGCTTGCTTCACTTGTTCGTGTGATTTGCTTCACTCGTGTCGTTTAATAGTTTGACAATTTATCGTTTGACAGTGTGACAATTTATTATAAAAAATGAAATTAAAGAAGATGAAAAAGGGAGAGAGAGGAAGAGGGAAAGACGAATAGAGAAAGGTATGCATATTATATACGTATGTATATTGTATATATCATTATGTTGTATGAAAGATACGTACACTATTTTTTTTTATATTTATGTTGTTTATACGTAATATACTGTGACTGTAATTTTTTTCTAATAATTAATAATTATATTTGATCAGCGGACGGTTCTTCGTTGCCCATGGCATACCTTCGGTGCGTGGCTTGAATATCGGTTCCGCGATCCAGGAATCGAAGTTATGATAAAAGAAACCGAATTGGGCACCAAATCTTATCGATTTCAATGACATTGAAAAATTGTAATTATAGCCTTGAGTAACATAAAGATTTTAATTGTTAATTGTTTATAACAAATATGCTATTATAAATAAACATAAATAATCAAAGTTTTTTTCAGATTTTTTAGACGTAGAAAGAGGTTATAAAATATACAATTTTGTATACAATTTTTGATAATTTTCACAAAGCAAAATCCATTGGATGCAAAACAAAATCTAAAAATGTACAGTTCTGTATACCTTTTCGACTTTTCATGCAATTACTTCTTAAAGTGATACATACTTCATGTCGTCTCTTGTAGAAAATAAAAGAAATATAAATATAAATTAAACAGATAGTTAATATAAATTAAATAGATACATTATATAATTTTCTTTAAAATCATAGAATTATATATATAAACAATTTTATGTTTTATTATTGAGAAAACTGCTTATTCAGTTTGAGTTTCATGGCTTTCAGATAGTGTTTTCCAAAAATTTTATCATTTTGTCACTTTATCACTTTATCTAATCACTTTTCCTCTTGTTGCATTCTGCGATACTCTTGTAATTTAATTATCTTAACGTAATTATCTTATACGTAATTGCACTCACATATACAAAATATAACTTATTGTTAGTTTCTTCAGGCATATTTGCACACTCAAACAAATAATCATGAGCGATGTAAATTCGTCTTGAGAGACATATTCGCTTTGCACAAATCAACGTCGAGTGTTGACAAGACAATAACTGAGCGCTTTCTCTGCCGAACGCGCCCTCTTTGCCGAACGCGGCCATTCTCATCTCATATCGACGGTATGATAGATTTTCCTAACCTTCAAAAGCGTCATCTGTAATATTTAATTATTTTTTTAGAATATCTACATTTTTGACGATTTTATTTTATCTTTAATTTTTACTTTTTAAATCATTCTTTTTATGCAAAAATACATCGAATGAGTGTATTTTTATCAAGGTTTAAGGTGAGCGGATCAAAATAAACATTTACCGAAATATATATATATATATATATATTTCGGCAATTTTTAATCGCGCGCAAACTTTATGTCGTTTTTTTTATAAAAGTACGATTTAGTTTTATTAAATAACGTATTGAGATTATTTTATGTATATTTTTTTTACAGATTACATTTTCTTGATATAATATTTAATTTTTATTCATTGCGCGCGCGTTTATAAAAACATTATCTATTGTACAATTTTTTCTCAGATTTTGTATATGGTAGAGCCATTTTTGCAACGATTATCCCTAGAAAATTTATATCTGAATCCATTTCCGGAAGCTTTAGTTTCCGGTTATCTCGACCTCGCTATCTCTATGGATAATCCTGCATTTCATCAAAAATGTACAAAAGCCAAGATGGAATCTTATCTTGGCACATGTTATGGCCAAAATAATACTACCACGATGTGCGATGTACCGTTTCACACAACTTCAAGTAATTTGGTTTATTGTCAACCTGGAGCATTCACAGATGTAACACACAGTGTTAAAACTAATGTACATGCAGCAGAGACAAAGCATGGAAATTATATTGATAAAGAAAGATATAAGATTATTAGGAAGTGGAAACGATTCGGAAAAAGTAAAGATCGTTACTTTTTTTTTCAAATGTAAAATTTCCGAATGGATATACATATTACTGTTTATCAATTGCCCAAAGAATATAATTTCTTAAACATTTTTAGATAGATTAATTAGCAATACAGAAGATTCTTTCATCCTGAGACTTTTATCCTTTAATATCCTCGCACAAAACTTGTTAGAAGATCACTCGTATTTGTATCAAGGCCATAATAAGAAAGCTTTGAATTGGAAAATTCGAAAAACTTTGGTGATACAGGAGATACGTGAAGCGGATGCAAATGTATGGATTTATTTTCTATATTTCTATCAAATTTTTAATAATAATATAAATGTAAAAGAATATTATGATATTTACTAAATATTCCAGGTAATATGCCTTCAGGAAATGCAGGAGGATCATCTATTAGATTTTGTAACTCCATTCAAACAGCTTGGATATGAGTATCTATATAAAAAAAGAACTAATGATAAGAAGGATGGTTTGCTCTTGCTATATCGCTCCAATCAGTTTGTTTTACTAGATTACGCAAAGGTGGAGTTATATCAAGCTGATATCGAGCTTTTAAATAGAGACAATGTTGGAATAATTGCTAAATTGTCCCTCAGAGATAGCCCAGAAACCCAAGTCATAGTTGCAACCACTCATTTGTTATATAATCCAAGACGTAATGACGTACGATTAGCGCAAACACAACTTTTGTTAGCGGAAATAGAACGAATTGCATTTGTTGAAAACACGATGTAAGTGTGAAACATATTTATCATGTCTAATGGTCTTTATATGTACATTTATAATTCTGCAGGACGGGCCCAAAATACTTACCAATTATATTAACGGGTGACTTCAACTTGGAGCCATTTACAGGCGTTTACAAGTTTTTGACAGAAGGTTCATTTGAGTATTATGGCAAAGGACGAAACTTAGAGCCTTCTCAATATAATTTTTTGTCCAACTCTCTGATACCATCACGATTATGCATTACTGATAATTGTCAGCATTTTAACATCTTGACTCAAAGATTGCAAAGGGAAGGTACTGGTAAAGTCATGGTAAGTTCTTAATGGTACATGCAAGAATACTAATATTTTAGTTTCTCTTGCTAAATTAAAAGTCTATTTTAATATGTTTATTTTAATGAGTACTATCAATAATTATCATGCCTAGCGTCTGCTTTTTTACATATAGTTAGATTATAAAATGATACTTTTATATTATAATACTATGATGTGCTTTTAATTCTAAATTTTATGTATGTTTTGTTTTTTCTTCAGTCTATCAGCTTCCTTCTACATGTTATGAGCATATATTGTGAGTTATCTCTCTAATTATTTATGTTTTTGCCTAGCTGGAAAACAGTGAATTGCCTCTTCAGAAACGAGATGGGAATATGACCATATCTTGTAACATAAATACGCTACAACAAAACAGTGTCAACATTAATACTGGTTGTACACAGATCGAGATCATAAAGGGTTATTCCGTGAGATTTTCATCCGGCACTCTAACACATCCCTTTAACATGCGCAGCGTTTATAGGCATATAAGCGCACATGGTGAAAAGGAAGCGACAACGCATCAGGATAAATGGATTACGGTCGACTATATATTTTACAGCAACATCCAACCCATAGAGAAATATGCCCTACCTACAGTAAGCCAATGCACTGCATTACCAAAAATACCAAATTTTGTAGTAGGTAGTGATCATTTATGTATAGGCGCAACTTTTCAGTTACCAAGAAAGAAATCTGTGCTTTAAAATATAACTTTATATCATCTTTTTAATTCTATTATATAAAATTAAATCTTTAAAATATTATTTATGAATATTAATAATTTATAAGAGTTATGTTGAGTTATATATATCGTACTTGAAAGATGAGAAATGCCAGGTGCATTGTTAGTTTTTCAAAGCAAAAGTGCAAGATATATACTTTGATTTACAAAAACTACAAATTTGCAATATTTATCTCTAATATAACCAGGGTATGCTAACTCCATATTTTAGTGAAGATGAAAGTTAGATGCTTAGAAACAAACAGCATTATCGACTCCATAGATTACTAGCATTTTTCCTTATTACTAATGGTAGCTGAGTGTCTTATAGTTAGCTTACTGTCACTTACGACTTGTTTGGAATGTATTTGCAAGTCTGAAAAGTGATTTAGGTATTGCAGATTATTAGATAGATAAAGATTTTCCTACTCTGAATCTGTCTGTATGTCTATTCTTAACTTTCTAATGATAATATCACGATTGTTGCGATGTAATGATATTGTCATTAAAGAAAGTTAGTCATATAAATAGACTCAAAATAAACAAATCTCTTGTCTATTTAATTTACTCATGATAAGAGATAATCATGCTTCAGACTCGTAAGTAATACATTTCAAATAAATTGTGTCGTAGTATGCTACAGCTGTATTATTATAACAGAAATAAATAAATATACATATATAGTATATCATCCTATAATGTATATATATATATGCATACACACGCGATTTTGTCACATGATTCATTTCAGTCAAGTTAAAATATTTCAACTTTACTAGCTGCTAGCGCATTAACATAATAGTAGCTAGTAAAAAAGCATTGTGTAAACCACGCTTTAGCATTTTTCCAGCAACAGCCAAGTGGTGCTGAAAATTGTTCTCATCTTTTTAAGAGGAGTTAACACACCCTGGATATAGTATTCACAAAAGCTGTAGAAGAGTGTAACTTTTTACTTTAATTTTTATTTTCTTCTGTCTATTTAGTAATCATAAGCAAAGTTTATTAAAAAATAATTATAATTAAAAAATTTTGATAATTAAAGGATAAGAATTTGACGTCTTAACTGCCCAATTTTGTTTAAAAAATTTATGAATATTTTCAAAGGCTTGTTTATATCTGCGCTAAAAATATTGACATGATTTGTGCCAGCTGTATGTCTAATATATTGCAAATTAGAGAAACTATTATCACATATATAGGACTGTGATAACAACTATTATACAAGAACTATTAATACATAAAAAATAGGTAAAATAAAAGACAACTACAATTCTATAAAACATTATGTAATAATAAAAATGTTGTAAGATACTGTACAAATTTTGTATACAATATAATAAACAGAAAATATTCTCTCAAATAAAATTACAGTACTTCCTCGTTTTATGAAGAGTGCTCCTAATATGCCATTTTTTATTATCAAAAAATTTTTGCTCCTTTTGTTCTAATCAATCAAACAACTCAAAACATTTGTAACGTTTTAAATAAGATTTGAGATTATTTTGTTCAAGAAATTGGGGATGAGCCTGTCTTAGATAAAGCGAAAATTTTTCATGAAACAAGGAAATACTATATATCTTTTAGGCCTGGTTTGGTTACATCAATTTTATTTTGGCTTTAAGCTTGAATCTTTTGGCTTTAGATTATAATTTGATCATTGATTAACTTATAATCAAAAGCCAAAAGTTCTCACTCTCACTTAAACCCAAAATGAGATTGGTGCAACCGGGTCGCACACAATATTATTAATCTCATATTTACATCTATCCGTTTCTTTATAAAATTTTAACATTCCTAATCTAACCTAACAGGTTTTATTTGGAAAGCACCTTTATACAATTTCGGTTCTTTATATGCAACTACACAGGTCTTGCCAATAAGATTATTTTCGGCACGAATAAAACAGTTTGCATGACAAAACTTTGCAAACTCCTTAAATTTCACTTGCAATTCTGCATCGCCACCGTTAGGACCAATTAGGAATTCGCATTTTAACAGACTTGTTTTCCCCTTTATACAACATTCTAAATATCTATAATCTGTTGTAAACATCTTACTGATATCTTGGATCTTTATGTATAGAACTTTTCTCAAAATACCAGTCACAAATACATCATCTATCCAAAAGTATTTATGGGAAGATTCAGCATAATTGATCAATTTATTCGCCATTTGTGAATTTGTAATGTATAGCCAACCAGAGACAAAATCAGGATAAGTATTATCCGCATATTCTGTTTTGCTTACATACCACTTATTGGCTGGCTCTCGAATAGGGATCATATTCTTCATGATGTAACCAGCTAAGGAATTTTTCTCTATTATACCTGTGTGTAACTTTCCTAATATGCCATATATATTTACAACTATATCGTCGTCCATCTTCATAATGTATTTAATGCGTTTGCAATTATTCGTTGCCCATCGAAGGCCCATCAGATGTTTGTAAGTCAAATTTCTATAAGTATCTAAGAAATCCCCCTGAAGTATGTCACTGAATCGTCTTGACTCATCTAATAATGCTTCCTGCGATACATGTGTTTTCTTCTCGGCATCATCATTTAACTTACCAAGTAGGAATACTCTTTCAATTCCTAAAGTTTGTAATTCCTCATCCATATACGCTCGTCGTAGAGCGCTTCTGGCTGAGGGATTACCCGCATAAGATGTGATAATCCATATTAGAAAAGTAGCATTGCACGAAGGTTCGATTATGATTCTAGTATTTCCTGATGATTCGCCCATCATGTCGTATGTCGTTTGAGGGTTTATTAGAATCGTTTTCGAAGTCTGTGACCGTAAATCTTTCTCCATGAATGTAAAAAATAACAAAACGCATCCTATACAACCAAGCAGCAATAAGAATCCAAGCTTGGAAACCATACTTGCCTGTCTTCTTATTTAAAATTGACGATCAATTAATAATAAAAGTTGCAAACGTAAAATCGTAGCTTCTTGCATCACGCATTATCTTGACCATTGCTTCATCCAAATTTTATTTTTGAAGGCATAACGATGGCAGATGGATTGTTCTTTGTGATCATTTATGGAAAAAATGTTTGTTAATAATGATACGATGTAATTGAATTGTATTGACATGATCAACATACCAAATTTAAGATTTTTCTTTTCCGTGCTTGTGCGAACCAATACAGCGGAATAGCATAAAGGTACATTTTCACGAGCCGCTGAAATCGATTGTTTGAGCGACAAAAAGGATCACGTGATATAAATGGACGAATCAGCGGCCAGACTGTGGTCACTCATTCGTCCATTTCGATCACGTGATCCTTTTTGTCGCTCAAACGATCGATTTCAGCGGCTCGTGAAAATGTACCTTAACGCGGAACGAGATCGGAACCAATCACGAGCAGTGTAGCCGGAAACAGGTCCCGCGGCTCACGGCTCAGCAATGGAGGGGATCACGCACACAAGCGCAAACCGCGTACGTGTGCGCTCTGCGCTTCGGTGTACTGACAGTGAATATTGGAACCATAGACATAGTATATCTAGACCGAGTGTTGAGGAGCATGACGAAAGAGAGCGCTATGCTCTGTGCGAGCGAGAGAGAACGCAAGGAGCACGAAACAGAGTATGTCCTTTTCTACGTGGGCATCGGCCCCCACTCCTCAACACTCGGTCTAGATATACTATGTCTATGGAACTTATTCTGTGTTTATTCCATTGAATAAAAAAGAATAGGGATGAGTCGATTGTGTATCTTTGAAACGAAGTGAAAATTACAAAAGTGAACAGATTTACTAGATTTCGACAAATGAAATTGTAGATACTCTAGTGAATTTTCTAATGGCATTTTCGAATGTAGCAGGTTTAGGGCCAATTTCACCAAGCTCGGTTAGATTAACCGACGGTTAAAATTAGCAGTTTATGATATTGCTGGTCCCTCAACATCTAATGATATGCAATAATAATGTTCAAAAGATAATGACTTGTATTTTATGGGCATTATTATTCATATAATATAATAAATAATTTTGTTCACTTTTTAATATGTTTATAAAATAAATTTTATCTGTAATAGACATCACATTTGTCAAGGACGTGTGTAAAAAATTTCTTGTCATGAATTGACATCACACTTGCAAAAGGCAAGTGTGTAAAAAATTTCTTGTCACTAATTGACATCACACTTGCAAAAGACAAAAAAACATTCTGTAAATAACAGATATAATAGAGAATATTTCACAATATAATGTGTATGATATGGCTACAGGCGAAGATCCACGTTAAAAAAAATCTAACGCGCCATTAGTGGAACCTCATGGGTGGTGTGGAAGTCCATTCACTCTTTGTTCTCAAATTATTGTAATATTTATAATCTTACGCAAACACATATTTGTGTAAATAATTAATAAAGTAATTATTAAAGTAATATAAAGTAATTAAGAAATCGCATATGTCCTTACATGTAAATATATTACTTTTTTATATTATAATAAAACTTAATATAGCATAACGAAAAAATGTTTTATATATATGTATATATATATATATATATATATACATATATAACAAATAAGGATTGTAATAATATATTGAAAGTATGATTTTTAATAAATTTGAAATTAATGTCTTTTTATCAGAGATTCAAATTATACAGAATTGAGTATACGCAATTAACCTGAATTATTTCTTTCAGCCTGTAGCTAACATCCTCTGCAAGATCCTTTGCAGCCTCATCTGGGAAATTGCCAACGCCAATACTTTCTGCTATCACTTTAACAGATTCTTGAGACAAAGTTGTCCCATAAATGGATTCACTTTCACTCATTTTTGAAATAGTTTCAGGTTTCACATTTCATATACAAGTATGTCCTTTTCTACGTGGGCATCGGCCACCACTCCTTAAATAAAGGCAAACGCTCGGTCTTGATATACTATGTCTATAGTAGCCGGAAACACGGCTCACGGCTCAGCAATGGAGGGGATAACGCACACAAGCGCGAACCGCGTACGTGTGCGCTCTGCGCTTCGGCTAGCTTCGGAGAGTAGAGAAGAACAGACATATGTTTTCCGTCTTCTTCTCACTTTCTACCGAGCTGGCAACGATGGTTGCGTTCCGATATTCACTGCCAGTACTGAAAATCTATAGTGCACGTGACGTAGGCTATAGATTTTCAGTACTGGCAGTGAATATCGGAACGCAACCATCGTTGCCAGCTCGGTAAAAAGTGAGAAGAAGACGGAAAACATATGTCTGTTCTTCTCTACTCTCCGAAGCTAGCCAAAGCGCAGAGCGCACACGTACGCGGTTCGCGCTTGTGTGCGTTATTCCCTCCATTGCTGAGCCGTGAGCCGCGGGACCTGTTTCCGGCTACACTGATCACGAGCGTTCCGCAGTTTTTGCAACGTAGATTCCAAGTCCTTAGGGTGCGAACCCATGGAGCGGAATAGCGTAACGCGGAACGAGAGCGGAACCAATCACGAGCGTTCCGCAATTTCGTTCCGTTTTCCGTAGTTCCTAGCGGAATAGGTTTCGCAGATCGCGTAATGTCTACGCACACATCTATACATACATGTATTGTATAAAAGCTAACCTCGAAATAAGCAGCAACATGAGCAACATGAGCAATGTTAATGTTAAATTCACATTATCACAATTAGTAAGTATATAATATTAAAATTAAAATGAATTATAATTAGTTATGATTAATGCCAATTTACTTTAAATTAATAATGTTTTGGTATATTGCATTTAGGAATTATTTGAATGTTTTTTGAATCTCTGAATTTGAATTATTTTTGTAAGGTGTAAAGTAATATACATTTTGTCTTATAGTTTAATTTTTTTTTTCTATAATAATCTGTAATAAACAATTTACAGTTAATCAAACTGTGCATAATTAAACGAATTCGCGTATTAGGAATTAAAAAATACATTTTTTAAATTATATATCATAATCTTATATATTATTTATATGTTCTTTTAGAAAGAAAATCATCGAAGACAGATCTAGATAGTTTAGAAGAGACCTTTATTAAGACACTGATGACTGAGTCAGTTGTACAAAATGATCCGATACATGGCTTTGTATTAAGCTTGGCTGATGGGCTCCGTCGGCTCCCTTACAAAGAGAGAACAAAATTACAAATAGAATTTCTCAGCAGGATACTGGAAGTTCAAAACAACTTAGGTAATGATTGCGTATACATAATAGTATATAATAAGCATACAATAAGTGTATTCGTATGCATGTATAGACTCATCTGCTTTTCTTTACATCCATTCTACATGATACATATATAAATATTTTCATTTCAGATTCGGAATTATAATACTACGATGTCAGTGACCTATGTTAACGATGTTACATGTTCAGTATTTTTTACTATTGTTTAGTTATATTTTACTACATACTATATAAAATTAGATATTTATATATTTTTATAAAATAAAGCTGCGTTTGGATTTATAATTCATCTCCCTTCTTTTGTATTCTTCTTTTGTATTCTCCTTTTACATTTTATCAGTATTTTCGAAAGCACAAAATATATAATTGATAAACAAATTAAATGTTTTACAAAACAACGAATTTATTTCTATGTTCAGTTATTAAATACAAATTAAATGTATAAAAAATAGAAAAAAACAAGGACGTGTTCTTTGCCAACGAGTGTGTATCGTTATTGTCATTTATCAACATTCATCGTATCGTGAAGGCGAGCTTACTCAATGGTGTTGATACTTGTGCAGAATTTGTATTTTATTTCAACTTCTACGATGATCGTTAACAAACACCTGGACTGCGATAAACCTCTAATGCGTATCAAAGCGACCATTGAGCAAATATGATGTATATTTAAAAATCATTATTCAAGGCCTTATTCCACTGCCATTCGAGTGCACCGGTATTCATAAAAAAATCAGCATGATGATTTCGCACTTGTGCAGCATATCGACTATGTGAATTGGTATTGAGCGCATCCATTTCTGTAAATGCACCTGTGTGAGTCAAGTTCACATTATCTTCTGTGCTGTACTTGGAGTAGATTCTTTCTGCTGGAGGTAACATCGCCTCATATTGTATAATATAATTATGCAAAGCTGATGTAGCTTGCACAATTTTCACCGCTGTGCTTAAAGAGGTATTAATTGGTTTCCGATAAATTCTCCACCGAGCTGCAAGCAATCCAAAGGCGTTTTCGACTACTAATCTTGCTCTACTTAGACGATAGTTAAATATCTTCTTTCTTATGTCAAGGTGCTTGCTTCGAGGAAAAGGTCGCATCATGTATGGTGTTAAAGCAAATGCCTCATCTGCCACCAATATATACGGAAGCTCTGGCCCATTTACTTCCACTTGAGTTGGTTCAGGTAGATTCATATTTACATTTTCGAAACCGATACCAATTTCGCTTCTTCGAAATACACCTCCATCGCTTTGTCGACCTTCAGCACCAATATCCAACATCGAAAAACAATATTTTGCGTCATTAATTGCCATTAAATTTATACTATGTCTTCCTTTATAATTGTAATAGCTTGATCCACTATTTGGTGGGGCCTGCAATATAATACAAACCAACTAATTGAAATTTATATTCAATAATTGCATAATATACAGGGTGAGTTTTTTAACTTGAAACTGTAAAATATCTCGGAAAGTAAGCTTTATCGAAAAAAATGTTTCAAACAAAAGTTGTAGGGTTCGGAGGGGGCCACATGATAAAAATATGGATTTGACCAAGAGTGACCTTCTCAAGGTGAGGTCAATGTGATCGACGTTTTCTTAAATGGAACCCCCCTTTTTTATTACATATTCTTGTAGCTTATCTCGAGAGCTTTTCAAAACACTATAATAAAGTATTTTTTCATTAAGTACTTTTTGAGTTATTTTATATCTTAATCTAACATATTTTGATATAAAAAATAAAATATCTCGTAAAATATTCAGTTTTTGATAATCTTACCGTAATACTTTTATGAACAGAATAATGTGACAAATTAATTAGTGTAAAGAAAAAAACAAATAATTGTCTTAAAAAATACATTGTAAATAATTACATAATTTTTCTTAAAAACAATTATTTTTTTATACAAGATATAAAATAACTTGAAATCCACGTTGCAAAAACTGCGGAACGCTCGTGATTGGTTCCGCTTTTGTTCCGCGTTACGCTATTCCGCTGCATGGGTTCGCACCCTTACATCCCCATGGAGCGTAAGGCCCTGCACGCAATAGAGAAAATATTAGGAATAGAAATAAAATATTAAATATCATGAGAAGCAATTTGGAATTATTTTACTTCAAACAACGGAACGGAATGGATTAACGCATGAAATAAAAAAATAAAAATTATAAATAATTAATACATTTCGTTTCCTTGTTTGAAGTAAAATAATTCCATATTGCTCCTCCTGATATTTAATATTTTATTCGTATTCCTAATATTATCTCTATTGTGCGCAGGGCCTAATGAGTAGAGTCCTATATAATCAGAGAAGCAGCAATGGCGTTCCGCTTGCTGATTGGCTGACCGCCATGGGCCCGTTCCATTTAATGATCATTTCTAATATTATTTTTTTTATTTCATTATGCGTTAATCCATTCCGTTCCGTTTGAAGTAAAATAATTCCAAATTGCTCCTCCTGATATTTAATATTTTATTCGTATTCCTAATATTATCTCTATTGTGCGCAGGGCCTAATGAGTAGAGTCCTATATAATCAGAGAAGCAGCAATGGCGTTCCGCTTGCTGATTGGCTGACCGCCATGGGCCCGTTCCATTTAATGATCGCAACGCTCACGGTATCATTTCATCTTTGTTGTTCACCGAAAGTTAAACAAAGACAGATGATGATTCGAGCCAAGTCGGTGATACGGTGAACACATGCTACTTGGTGAGCCTTGAACTGAATTAGTGCGAGAACAGTTTTTGAAGCCCATCTCAACTTTTTAGTAACATTTATAGTGCTGCATGTTATACTGCTCGAATCTGACTGTGAACTATCATCTCTTACTTTATTTATTTATTGTTTGCGTGCTTTTGCGCTTCTGTGGTGCGTAGTAACTCGCCATTGCCGCCGGCCGGTTTTCCGGCCAGGCAATTTTTCCTGCTATTATGCCGACCCAGGACCCTAAGGAGGGTCCTTCGCTTAAACCAAAGCTTTTAGCAACTGCTTCTTTAGTAATTAATAACGTGCAATCTGCTAATGACGAGGACAGACTTGACTCTATTGCGTCTTCCCTTCCCCCCTTCCCTCTTGAATCTGACGATATTATGGAGACTGAATCCGAATCTGCTAACAATGTTGCATCTAATTCTCAGTCCGACTCTCATGTTTTGACGGGGGGAGCCTTTCCGCCCATGGAAGCCTGTGATATTTTAAATTATAAGTCCATTAAATCTAATATTCCTAATAAGCGCAAAAAATGGAGAGGAATTTGCCTTCTCCGGTAGGTGGTAGCGACGGGATGGGAGAGACGGATGACTCGAGCTCAGGTAAACATGTTTGTGACTCTTTTGTTAATAGAAGTGAATTTGACCTTTCGTCTCTTTCGAATACAAATAAGTATGATAGAACCTCGCAGGGCCCCTTCGATGTTATTATCCAATCTTCGGAAAATTCCACGTCTTCAATCGACCCTATCGCGGTTGGTCGCCTTCTCTATTCTATTTCAAAAAAAGACATTCTAGAGATTAAAAAGATTGGTTTTTCTAAGATAAGTATACAGTTAAAGTCTCGAGAGGCGGCAAACAGCTTGATCTCTAATCCTATCCTTAAAACAAAAAGATACAATGCCTATATTCCTCTTTTCAGAACAACAAGAAAGGGCATTATTCGTAATGTTCCCCTCGATTTGCTCGACGAGGAGATTCGCAGGAGCATTAACAGTGGTGTTGTGGTCACCTCCGTAAAAAGGCTCAACAGAAGACGAAGGAGCACGGACGTTTCGCTGTCCTCCTTCTCTGATGGTCAGGAGTCTACATTGATACCTTGTAAGACCGTTTTAATTACCTTAAAGGGCCAATTGCTCCCTAGACATATATATTTGTTTATGATTAGGCATTCTGTCGAGCCTTTCGTTACAAAAACTTCGCTCTGTTTCACATTCGTTATGGGCACTTGAAGGCCCAATGCAAGTGACATCCCCGTTGTCAGCACTGCGGGGAGAGGGCGGCGATAGATCTTGCTTCTGTGTCCTCCTCTGTCATCGACTTGTGCGAGTGGAGTGTGCTCGACTATACTCATCTTAGTGACCAACTTTCCGACAGAAATTAGATTTAACTGCCACATTATAAAGAGAAAATTTTTCTCCCATAGAATTAGACTGACTGCGGCTGAGAGGGAGCAATTCGCCGAGAGCTTGAGTAATGGTTTGTGCGGCCTCAATGAATCCTTAAGCAACCCTGCGTTAAACGCAGAAAATAGATATGAGATTTTTACCCGCCACTTGAGGAGCTGTCTGCCTCGGAAAGCGGGGAGAGGTTCCTCTGAGGAACCCTCTCGTCACCATAAAAAACGAACCACTTTGCCGGCCCCCTTGTGGAATGACTCTTGCCAGGCGGCGGTTGACATTAGACGTGGGCTTCTCTCAGCTTTCAAGAAGTCTCCCTCATATTCTAATTTTCTCGCTTTTAAAAACAGGAAGCTATCTCTAGACGCATTTTAAAATGTGAAAAAAGAAAAGGATAGAGAGACTTTTGCCAAAATCTCAATCCTAACACTCCTGTCACCTACATCTGGAAAGTTATTAAGCGATTTAAGAATTACTTGGGCATCGCTACTCCTTCCTCTAGCTCTAACTACCGTATTTTAGAGGAAATTCGACGCTCCATCAACACCTTATGTCCTCCATCCTCTCTTCATAGGGTCTACTCTTCTCTTAGTGACTCCCCCCCTAATTACTCCTGCAGGATGTTTGATAGTCCCTTCACCCTCAGGGAACTTTTGTCAGTGGTTCGAAATGCAAAAAAACGCTCCTCTCCGGGTCTCGACCAAATAGATTACTATATGATTTCCTCCATATTGAGCCCTCTTTTATTTAATTTGTATGTCTCTGGCTGTAAACAATATCTCTCCCATGACTGTCGGATTGTTCAGTTCGCGGACGACATTGCACTCTATACCGAATCCTCTGATCCCAAGATCGCCCTCAGATCCTTGGAAAGATCGGTTGATGGCCTGTCGCGGTTCTTGCTTGCTAGGGGTTTGTCTGTCTCCCCGTCTAAGTCGGACCTCATGGTATTTACCAAAAAAAGAGTTAATCCCCTGAGTTTTTCAATCGAGCTGAACGGCAATTGAAGCTGCTATTGGCTCGGTCCAATCGCATAAGTTTCTTGGCGTCTATCTTGATCCCGCTCTCAGCGGCAAAACTCATGTCCTTTATCTGGTAAACAAGTGCGGGAAACTTTCCAACATCTTGAAATCACTGAGGGGGGTGTAGTGGGGAGCGGACCCCAAACTTCTGGAGGATGGTCTTTTCCCGGCTTCATGGCATCACTCCCTGGTCTTTTTCATCCCAAAATCCACCCCGGGAAAATATCGGCCTATTTCTTTCACCTCTTGTCTTTTGAAAGTTTTGGAAAAGTTTATTCTGACCCGTTTGGACTGGTAGGTGGAATCCCTGGGGGTTCTCCCCCTTTTCAGTTCGGGTTCCGTAGAGGGAGGTCATGTTCGGACAACTTGGGTGTCTTGACGACTGATGTTCATGGCGGATTTGTCTCGGGACGATCAACGGCGTGTCTATTTCTGGATGTCCAGGGGGCGTTTGATAATGTCGTCCCTAATATATTTTGGTCAGGGATCTCGTTGACTTGGGACTCCCCCCGAAAATTTGCTGGTTCATATGTCAACTAGTTAATTATAGAAATATCCAATTTGTCTTCAACGGCGAGATTTCCCCTCACTTTGTTTCGGATAAGGGAGTTCCACAGGGCTCCATATTGAGCCCTCTTCTATTTAATTTATATGTCTCTGGCTGTAAACAATATCTCTCCCGTGACTGTCGGATCGTTCAGTTCGCGGACGACATTGCACTCTATACCGAATCCTCTGATCCCAAGATCGCCCTCAGATCCTTGGAAAGATCGGTTGATGGCCTGTCGCGGTTCTTGCTTGCTAGGGGTTTGTCTGTCTCCCCGTCTAAGTCGGACCTCATGGTATTTACCAAAAAAAGAGTTAATCCCCTGAGTTTTTCAATCGAGCTGAACGGCAATTGAAGCTGCTATTGGCTCGGTCCAATCGCATAAGTTTCTTGGCATCTATCTTGATCCCGCTCTCAGCGGCAAAACTCATGCCCTTTATCTGGTAAACAAGTGCGGGAAACTTTCCAACATCTTGAAATCACTGAGGGGGGTGTAGTGGGGAGCGGACCCCAGGACCCTTCTCTGCGTTTTTAAAGCTCTCGTTCGGGGCTCTATTGAATATGGCTCTTTTATATTTCCCTTGCATAATTCTGGTCTAGTGGAACTCTTGGAGAGGACTCAGCGTAGGGCCCTTCGCTACTGTATGGGCCTGAGACAGACTAGCCCTACTAATGTGGTTTATGCAGAGTCAGGTATTAGTCCAATTAGACATCGTTTTACTTTTTTGACATCGAAATTTATTTTGCCATCTTTTGCACTTAGGGACAACCTTCTTATTGAAAAGCTTTATGATCTTTAGGCTGCTCTTGTTAACAACAACAAATATAACCTGTTCAACAGATTTCTTCTGTATAGAGCCTTTTACCTGAATAAAGAATACAAACGTAGAATCGCCTCTTTTTCTAAGGTTCCTATGCATCTTTTCTCTTATGAAACCTTATCCTTTACTCCAACTTCCGAGGTTACCTCTCCCCTTGTGGTGGAGGGGATTCGCCGGGCTCCGTTTCCTCAGCTTGCTTTTCAGCTTATCTTCACGGATGCTTCCAAGAAGGAACCTGGGGATTGTGTTAGCATTGGAGTCTTTTCGCCGTCTATCCACATTCAAAAAATGTTTAGGGCTGACTGTAGCTCCTCTGTGTATTCAGGTGAATGCATGGCCATCATTCACGCGATGGAATACATCCTCGAAAATGGTGTTGACAAGGTGACGATATTCTCAGACTCCCGCAGTGTGATTGATATCATTTCTTCCAGCAGAATTGACAGAGATTACAGCTATCTCGTCCTTGTTCTCAAAAATAAGCTGAGGTCGGCCTCTCTCCAGGGTATTGATGTTATTTTGACATGGATCCCCACGCACGTGGGTATCCTGGGTAACGAAACGGCGGATCTCCTTGCTGGGCGGGCTGTGAGGGAGGGTGAGCCTTCGGAGTATCTCCCTCCTCATACGGACTTCTACTCACTTGCTCGAGATAGATATATTAAGACTACAGGGGACTTTCTCGCTTCCCAAGCAGGCCGGAAAGGCTCCCAGTACTTTAGACTGTATCCATCTTTTTCGCCTAATGCATGGTTTTACAGTCATTCTCTCGATCGCGTTGGGGTGGTGACTGTCGCACGAATTCGCTCTAATCATTACAATCTAAACTATAGTCTTTTTAGGTGCAACATTGTGGACTCTCCCGCATGCGATTGCGGGGCTCCGCAACAGGATATTGGCCATGTCCTTTGGTCCTGTCCGCTGCTCTCCGCACAACGTGGCTCGCTCCTCTCTGCCGTCGAGCGAGGCCTTAGAGTTCCTCCCCCCTATGACATTTTTGAGCTTTTAAAATTTCCATCCTATAAAATTGTCGCTCCTATTGTTTCCTTCCTACGCTTGAATAACATTTTGATTTGACTCGACAAATTGGAGCCTTGCTTTGGCGCGCGTGCGCTGTGTTCTCATCCTCGTAAACTAAGTTGAGATGGCTCTCTGGCAGCATGAACGGAGATGTACTCTGTTCCTTGCCAAAAAATAGAAGAAAAAGAAGAAGAAAGACATGATGCTCGCGAGCGTTGCGCTCGTTAAATGGAACGCGCCCTATGTTGGTCCCGTAATGAATCCTACGTGCAAACTAACCGCAACCGGCGTACCGTAAATGAGAAAAAAATATATTTGTCAAGCGACGCGGTAGCGTCCCGACGCCAAGTAATATTATTTTCTAAAAAAAAACATTTTAAATATCTCTGAGACATTTTCAAGACATTTTAGATTACAAATGAGCAGATGCGGGACCAACATGGCGATCATGGGAAGCATGGAGGGGGTAACAATGTCGCTTCTCTGATTATATAGAACTCTAACTACATCTATTGTAGATCCGGACTAACCCCTCCACTTTTACAGAAAGCTCAATACTTGATTAGGATTGGTCAATTTTCTTACGCTTACGTTTTATGTCCTTACGGAATTTTGTGCGATGGCCTTTTTAGTGCCGATCTACAATAGGTGGTTTAAGCCCTAAGCCTTAAGAAATTGACTCATCACAGTCGAGTATTCTCCTCATACTTGATTGTGATTGGTCAATTTTTTAAGACTTAGGGCTTAAATCACCTATTATAGATCGACACTTAGGGCCCGAGCACAGACTTTTGCATAAGCGCATAAACATAAGCATAAGGAAATTGATTGGTCCATTTCCTTATGCATATGCTTATGGACCAATCAATTTCCTTATGCTTAAGCCTATCACACACAAATTGACATAATTGCATATGCATAGCATAAGACCGTCTGGACCAATAAGTATCGAAATAAAATCGCCATATTGATTTACATAGCATGCTCATTGGTCCAGACGGTCTTATGCTATGCATATGCAGCTATGCCAATTTGTGTGTGATAGGCTTTATGGTTATGCGCTTATGCAAAAGTCTGTGCTCGGGCCCAAAGTCATGAGCCCCGATTACCCATAACGCAATGCAAAGAATCGATCTGTGAGCCAATAACAGGGTACCGATCATGTAACTTTTTCCCTAGGGCGGAAACGTGAAAAGTGAAAAATATTAGCATTGTTACGTCTCGACAATGCTCTTTTCTTACTATACCTCAATTAGTGAGAAAAGAATAGCTCTCTATTTTTTATAGGGCAATCTGCTTCCACCGGCTATACCCCAGGGACGCCGAAAGCTAGGACCAGAGAGAAGCCTGAGAGAGGCAATGCCGGCGATTTTTGTGGGACGCTTTTTCTAGGCCGTAGAGCAGCGCCATGCATCCACTTTTAGGAATTGGAAACACTTACCCACATCCACTTTTCGATACTGCCGATCATTTGGTTCATATCCGTGCTACATCCACTTTTCGATCTTTTCGATCTTTTCGATAGTGGTAGTACACACCTACATGAAGCTAGCCGGAAGAAATTATTAAACATGATTATTTTTAATTTTTTTGAGTGTATTTCGTTTGTAAATCGTTTGTGATTGATTGTGAGCCTGTTTTTAACGTTTGTGACAAATTAGGTTTTTTGTAATTAACAATTTTAGTTTAGTCATGATGTCAGCCGATATTTTTTAGTAATAAACAGATTTTATGATAACTGATAACTGTAATCGACAGGAAATCGTTTGTGATTTACAAATATACCAATGTTACGTTTGTGAATTGATAAATTTTTTAATTACATGCAAAATAAGTTTATTTTATAATTGTAGTGCGCATGCGCAAAGTATGCTCATACTTTGAGACGCGTGACGATTTCCGCCACGCGTTAAGCTCGTATCAGACTACGCATTGAAAATTGAAGATTGAAGATCAAAGATTGGAATTTGACTAATCAGAACAAAAGGGACTAAAATTTTGTCCTGATTGGTCAAATTATAATCTTGAATCTTGAATCTCAATCTTCAATGCGTAGTCTGATACAGACTTTAGGGTGATATTACATTTGTCGTACGACAAACTTTTTAAGCGCATTAATTAGCTAATTTCTAGAGACTCAAGAAAGTTTCTATTTTGCAGCCAATCAATATGCTTAAAAAGTTTGTCGTACGACGAATGTAATATCGGCCTTACCCTTAGCCCAGATCTACAATAGGTATAGTAAGCCTCAAGCCATAAGAAATTGATTAATCACAGTCAATTGTAAGGAAAATAATCAATTATTATTGATAATATTTTTACGGCTTAAGGCTTACTACACCTATTGTAAATCCGGCCTTACGCATCGACGCGCTCTCTGTGGGCTGGAGCCCTGAGTATACTTTGCGCATGCGCGCTACATTTATAAAATAAACTTATTTGCACGTAATTAAAAAATTTATCAATTCACAAATGTAACATTGGGGTAGTACACTGATCGCTTGACAAAGAGAGATGATCGCGCCATCTTTGTCTT